ACCTTTCAAACTCCGATCAAGGAGCTCAAGGATTGAAAATCCAATAATGATGGTATGTATAGACCGTGTAGTATATGGTTTGTGCTAATTCAAGCGATGTTTGAATGTCAGCTAGTTTGATTGATTAAAGAGTTCCTTTTTTTCAACTCCGTGATAAAAACATATTTAATTTAGGTAAAGATTCTTTTGAAGTTGTTAAATGTCCATATGCATCATGAATTGATTTTAGCTCTTCCTTTTATATTCAAAGCAAAACGAAAAAAAAAAAAACAAAAAAAAAAAAAGGCAAAAGGGTCGATTATTATAGTTACACTAGGATTTTTATTGTTTTTTATTAAGACGGAACACTTTTGAGAACTAATAAACTTAGTCTCACACGTAAAGGACGTCGCACTAACAAGTAATAATGCATTGCTCTTTGTCAACATCATATATTTTAGCAAATTTAACACAAAGAAAACATCTTATAAAGAATATTATCTAAACTTATCTAAATTTTTTTCTACCATAAACTAATTTATGAGTGTCACTTTATTTTTCATGTAATAACTAAATTTTGTTTGAAATTAACTAAAATTATTTACTACGGAGTACGAAATAAGTCAAAACAAGTTGATTCAAATTGAAAAAAATGGTGTCTAATGTCTAATGGCAATGCATAAAATGCACTCCGAAGTAAAGATTATCGGAAGTAAAGAAGATTGGGTGAAGTATAACAACGCTACTAAGTGGCCCCTATACAGGCTACTTCGCCAACAAATGAGGCCAAGACAACCTATTACCTTTAACCTGTCCACAATCCACATGGGGCAACGCATTACAATGGTATTGTTTCTCAATTTCATCAATCGATCTTTCACTTATTTGATGGGATGCTTTTCTATGGATTAACTCCTCTCAATGATCAAAGCTTGAATGGATATAAATATATAATCCATTTGTTATGCTATGAGTAGGTTATCGTTTCAAGTGTGAATGTTCTTATTTGCGCATCTTGTTTGAGCTACAAGATTTATGTTTATCGATTTTATGGTTGGATAAAGTCGTTCTCATCACCATGCCAACCCATCATACAAAGGGTACTTGTAGACACTAAATAATAAGACTAGTAGTTAACTCAAAATGAAGAAATAGAGGGATTAAAAAATGACTAACATATAAAATTGGTGGGTTACTCTTCATATACATTGACATATGTATTATCAATTGTTTTCAAAAATGAAATGTGCTCAACTTATATGTGGTCAGACTCTCCTCCGATATGAACTCATACACAACCTAATAATCATCAAAGTAGACAATCTCACTCTATTATTAGAACCCAAAAAGGGAGGTAGTCCATTAGATTGATTGTGGGGATGCAAAGACAAAAAGCTCGCTCCTTACTACCCTAGTTAACACATTCCCATCATTATATTCAAACCACTTCAATCAAAGGATTATCACTTTGGTTAAAGATTCTTCTACTAGGAATTAAATTAAGTACAATAATGGAGTTATATTAGTCAAAAGACATATGTTACAAAGTTAAAAATGAAGACGATATGCAACTTCAAGATAATATATATTATTAATTATTATTATAAGTCCTCGGTGATTTAATAAAGTGTTTATATAAAATTTGTACATGGGGACGATTTAGTGTTCATGCAGCTAAATAATGACCAATATAAAATGACTGATATTCAAAGTGGGTTAATGATTATAAACCTAAATAGGATCTTAGACCAGTCAAGTTCAAGTTTAACTAAAATTTTTTTGCTGCCCCCCTCCTTTTCTTGATGATTGGATGTACTTTCAAAGTGATTTTTGAACATGGATTATTGGGGTATATAATTATACATAAATAAATGACAATGTCATTCAAAAAGAAGACATTTACCAAGATCTTAATTTAATTGACCAACATCTATGTCTCCTCTTTGTTTTACCACGTCTCCATCACATGGAGTAATATTTACAAATAACTATATATTCTCCTTCTTGTCTACTTAAAAATTGTATCATATTTTGTTTTCATCTAATTAAGAATTATATTGAACATTGGTGATTATGAGCATGTGCAGGGTGATCGATCGCATAGGCCACCTAAGTAAAACTACTATAAAAGGGCCCCAATTTTTGAATTTAGTAACATATTTTTCCTCCAAAAAATGATTTTAGGGACCAATTTAATAAAATTGCAACGGGCCACTTTCATTGTTAGCATTTGTAGCCCCGCCTCTGCTATCGAATGAACACATACGTGAGCAATACATAAAGTAGAAAGAAATTGTAGGAATAATCCTCAAAATAATCCTTTTTTTTTTTTTTTTTTTTTTTTTTGAGAAAAGCCAGACAGAATGACTAATTATTATTAATGCTCAAGCAAAAATCCAACGCAACTACATCTTCTACCACACTTGGACAACTCCCAACCCACACACCCTAGTAGAGTACTCAAGGGGGGCAAGGTGAGCCATAGAGTGGGCAGCAACATTAGCTTCCCTAAAAATATGAGAAAAGGCAATATAATCAAAAAATTCAGCTATAATCCTTTTTATTACAATGGAGTAACACCTTATATGATGTATCTATTATTCTCCCCTTTTCTCTTTAACGTTACATTGATGAGCAAATATTGATTGAACTTTCAACGGTATATTGGAGATAAAATTGTGCACTTAGCAGTTTTTAATTAAAAGTCTCTCTTTTATTCCTTTGGTGGATTAAATTTTTCTCCTTTCGGCTGGATAGAAAGCCTTTGACATGTGATTCCACATAAGAATTAAACACTACATAGTATGTTTGAATGTTGCTAGTATGGTATACATATTAAAGGTTACTCAGCTCTTAGCATATACCAAGTATTATGCAAGGTATCAACATTATAGATTTGAAATAATCCATGCATCAAGAAAATAAAATTTGAATTTGAGATGAGTGTGCATTTATTTTGACTCGAATTAATATGGTATATATATGCCCCGTACAATTTGCGGTTGGCCACTAATCCCTATTATCTAGTTTGTATAATATTAATAAAGAAGGTGAGAATTTCAACATGTCTATTATACGTCCGATTGTACCTCTATAGAACATGAATTTAGTGAGTAGGATGTGCTTATACAAGTATACTATATTTTTTATTAGCAAGCAATAACTGAACGTGTTTAATTACTCAATAAATGAATGGTACATCTGTACATGTAAACAAGTTGACCTTAGAGTAAAGCCAATGATTGCCCTAGCCTCTCCAATTTTTGTCATCGAGTTCTTTATTAAAACCTATCTCTTTCAATTCACCTCACCCATGACCAACTCTTAAGCGATGCCCACTTAATCTTAACCTCTCAATGGTCGCCAACTCTTAACCGTTTTTGTATTAGAAGAAAAAAATAATAAACAAACTAGTGTTACTACAAACATCAATAATATACCTAAAGTCTCAAACTACCAGATACTAAATAACCTACATTAACTATCCTATCTGCTATGCGATTTGCCTTTCAGTAGATGTGTTGGGTATTCCAATTGTGAAACTGAGTGAGATAGAAGAGAACGAATGTCTTTGATAATATGCTCGATCTGCTAAGATATTGTACAAATGTCTTTTATTGCGTTAGTGATTAATAGGTTATCACCTTCAATTTCAATGTCCTTAATGCCATATTGAAGAGATGGTTGGAATCCTTTATGAAGAGTTGTAACTTCTACTACTCTAGTGTTGCCAATGTTGAACTTAGAAGCCTTGATTAGCGCTTTGCTGCTATCTGTGATGAATTTTGCTACTGCTGAGTAGCTGCGAACTAAACTATTAAAGTTGATATTTTGGTCAATAGGATGACCTGGCATTCCCTATTCTCTCTCCTAAATCACCCCTCTTCTTTTTTTTTTTTTTTTTTTTTAACTAAGTTATTATTTAGCACTCTCTCCTCATGTGTCATGACCAACCAAAGTGCCCAATCAATGGCTTCACTCTAATCAATCATCAAAGTTGTGAGATTTCAACACTAATTTACTCCATGGATCAGGTTCATGACTCATGAGGGTTCAAGCTTATTCAAAATACTTGTAAGTGGGTTGAACACTTGAACTAGTGGTGTTCAGATCAGGCCTTATTAAATTTCAAGTTCGGCCTGATTTAATCTGTGCTGGGCTTTTGAAGAATTATTGGCCCAATTTTATTTATTTATTTTTTAAAATTTTTATTTTATTTTATGTGAATAGAACTACAGAAATCACCTACATACGTGATTATGTGATTGTGAGATTAACTTAGTTCACCTATTATTCAGTAGATTTTTTTTGATGGGTGAAAAAAACATAACTATAATAGGAAGCTAGTGAAAATATGAAATATCAAATCACCAATGATCTAAAAATAGAGTTAAATTAAATTAGTGCCCGTGCGACATTTATGTTTTAACTATCAAAAAAATTGGCGGAAGTTGTACATCATAAAAATAGTTTTAAATCAATACACAACTTATCACAATAATAATATTTTATACAACTTAAAGCAATTGTATGTAGGAAGTAAGGAAGAAAAACAATTGAAGGTAGGGGAAGAGATGGTATGATATGAAAATGAAGGAGAAAGAGTTTAGTTTGATAATCGAAGAGATTTTTTGTGGAGAAAAACAGTAAAATTAATTTATTTTCCAACATATTTCAAATTAATCTCATTACATAAAAAGCATCACTGTCAATAATAAAAAAATATTATTATTTTTAAATAATAATATTTAAAAATATAAAAATATAAATAATAATATTTATTATTTTTAAAAATATAAAGAATAATAATAAATAAATAAAATAATAATAATAATAATAATAATAATAAAAAAAAAAAAAAACGTCCTACTGGCATAGCATATGGGTCCATTGGGCATTAGCTGCCTCCATTTTTGAATGATTAACCCATAATAGCAAGGTTTGCTTATTAACCAATAAAAGGTGCAACATAATACATTTTTATTTTCATGATTCAAACAAGGTTTGTTTCATCAATTTAACATGAGACATGCTGATACGACACATATCTTAAACACGCTCGACCCATAATAATAGAAGTGTTGGTAATTGGTAGATCAACATATTCAAAAGCCCACAAACTTTACGTCTCTTTCACTTATTTCACTAGCCCTTCTCATAAAACGGTGTCGTAGTAAGCAACTTTCTGAAATTCAAGCATACTTTAATTTCACTGAACTCAATTTCGAAGTTGAAAATGGCGGGCTAATCTTTCTCACTTTCTCTCTCCTCTCTCTTCCAACCTCCCATGGCTTCCTTCCATAACAGAGCAGAAGGAACTGTACTCTCAAAGTTATCCGAGCTTCGAACAGTTTGCAACAAAGATATCGAAATTCACCACCAAAATACTGACTCAATTTTCGCCTCTTTTGGGAATTTCCTACAATCACAACGATCCAAAGCTGAATTAACTGTTCATAATCATGGTGTTCTTCTTTATTTTCACTCTAAATTTGTTTATTTATGATTTAATTTTGATTTTCTGTTGTGATTTAAGGGTTTACGCTTTTGTGTGTGATTATGTGTGTTTGATTAGGGTTTATCGGATTATCGAAATTACTTTGGTTTTATTATGAGTTGAAGAATTCTGGGAGATATTTTATGCTTAGGCTGACAATTTATGTGTAAATAAGAGTGATGAAATTATTTGAATTGCAGTGAAATTAGGGAAACTCAAAGTTGAATTAAGAGAATTGGAGGATGAATTGGTCAGAGCTTTGGCAGGTATGCCTCTTTGATTATTTCGTGGCGGATTTTTCGCTTGTAATTCAACATCATGGCGATATTTTATTGAATAGTGAAGATTTCCAATTGCCCTTCACATATAACTTGATGTTATGGTGCGAGCATCTGTCAATAATCTATCTTTTTCCGCAATGCCCTGTGGATTGATATGTTATGAAGGGTTTACTGTATGTCTTAATACTTGCACATACATGACATCCATAAATCGTGCGATTCTGGTTAGTAGCTTAACTTTTGTTGGTTGCAGCACATCAATGATCATTACACTCTGTCTGTTGATTGTGGAATGTGGCACTAGATTAATATAAGCTTCTTCTCACGTGGTATATCCTTTGTTTGTACCCAAGTTACAGTTGTGGGGTGATACATGTCATACATCTATGTATAATTTTGCTTCCTTCATAAGTCTCTGAATTGCTTCAGACTTTGGAAGCTAATAAGTGTAATGTTTGCGTTTACTTATATTCTAGAAGTTGTTATGAGGGATAAATTCCAGATCCATACCATAGCTGCCAGATGATGTATGCCTTATATAATTGTATTGGAAATCGCAATGCATGGTTGGGGTGGTCCTGTGGCATAGGAGTATATATATTGAATGGGGCATACACATGTTTTTATTCAACCTCGCATACTTTTATTGTTTACATGCTTCATCATTGTTGCTATTTTGAAGCCATTCCCCTATTTGTGCAATTTCCCAAACATTTTCACATTGTTTTGAAATATGGAATTTCATCTACCAACTACATTCTGTTACCTTTTAGCATTAATTTCTATGACTATTAATTAGTTACACAGTAGCACTGCATAAGGGATTGTGAATGACCATTATACACAATATACACGAGTCAAGAAAGCTTGAGACTTTATGCTGCAGTTAACAAGCATTTTGTTGCAGTTTTCTATGTACTGATGTTATGTCTGTTCACAGTTAAGACACGGAATGAGGTCAAGCGGATTGCAATAACAGACTCCCTTTCTGAAACGATTGTAAAAGCGGATGAGCTTCAAAAAATTGTACAAGATCAAGCAGCTAGAAAAGATGAGTATGCTTCCATCCTATCCGAACAGTCAAAAGGTAAATGTTTTTACTATAGTTGAACTATTTTATGTTTGCTGAATATAGTTATATACAGAGTTAGTGTATTAGGTTTTTGACTCCATGGAGATGTGAGTTATTAAACAATCATGTGGCTACAAATGATTTTACTAGATGGTTAATGATTATATAGATTTCTCTGTACTAAGTGGAGTAAGTATATCACATACTTCCTCTTCCAAGATAATTATCCACATCCCTCGGGATAAACATAGAGGGGATATTTTTTTTCACTGTGGTCAGTTGCTTTTGAATTGTGAGTGGTTTTCATACAAAAGAAACAGTTTTAAAGTAAACACCATGGTATGTTATATTGTAAAGTAATTGCTTCACTATATGCTCTCTCTATCATTTCGATCCTTTAAGGTTTCCAATATTTTTAACACCTTTGCCAATGTACATTTCAAATCTTTAGTATCTATAATTACATGTTATTGAAGATTAAAAAAGTTTGATATTCTAAAAGTACTCATCGAGATGAATCAAACAGAACTCCACTTGACCATTTTTTTTCTTAAATATATTGGAGAGAATTTAGGAGATTCTCTTAAGTTGTAAATAGTATATAGATTCCAAATAGGAAGAAAATTTAGGATCAGAGGGAGTAGTATGTATCCAATGCTTATTTGCCTCTTGTTATAGCTGATAAAGCTCCTATTAATTCTTGCTTATTAAACCGCAAATAATAGCTAAGTCAATGTTTATGCTTTTCTATATGTCCTGTGCTGAAAATAAAGCTCTATAGAAAGTAAAATGTCTTTTCCTACTATGGGTTCTCCTCCTTGTATAAAGTTTGTCAGCATATATATGATGGTTATCCTTAAGAATTTCCTAGCATCTACCTTATGGTGACCCCGAGTCCCTGACAAACAAAGAGTTTCATTATTCACACTTGAATGAGGAAAAACTGACGAAACAAGAAGAGCGAAGTGGATTTGATCATTTAAGTGAGATCATCTATTATCTAGTACAATACAGATATATTTCAAACTCATGGATTTCAATAACAAATTTTATTGTTTACGGGTTTTATTTTGTAATGTTATTGTTTTAATTCTTGAGATTTCTATATCTTATTCTTCCTTTTGTTTTGTATTTTCATTAGCTATTGCTGAATCTGAAGAGAATAGTCGGGAAGCTTCTAGGAGCAGAGAAGAAATACAAGAGGCATTTAAATGGTACAACAGGATACTTGGTTTCCGTATTGATGGAGGACATGGTAATATTACGTTTTTAAATTGTGTTGTGGAGCATGCGTTCTTGTTGCTATGCAGTCATTACAACTCTCGTAAATGTCTTTTGGGGCAGGTGTTACATTCACATTTACTAGCGTCAACAAAAAATGTCCAGCTGAGGAGTATTCTTTCACTGTTCGCCATGCAAATGAAAAATATACTTGTAAGTGGTGTGGTGTAAAGAATGTGAAACACATTATTGGAATAGCTAATAAATTTTTCCATTGACTTTTGTCTTTACATGTGATGAACATGTCGTTGCAGTGCTTGGTTCTAAGCCACACTTGAAAGATATTGAAGAGCTGGTCCATGAATTAAATAAGAGCAATGGCCTATTCAGATTTGTTAGAATTATGAGAGAAAAATTCCAGACTACATCATTAGGTACTCTCAAACCCATAATTTATCTCTCGTTTAAAGCATAGATGGTAAACCTGACATTTTTTATTTTCCTGTGTGGAAGTTGTGTATAATAGTCACAGGATTCTCTGGTGGTTAGCTAACTTACAAACTTGTTGTTGGCATGTTGCTACATTTTTTGGAGCTGTTCACTTTTTGCTTAATTTGAAATGATAATAGAAATACTCCTGCATCAGTTAGCTCGACAAATTATTTGGTTGATTATTCTAATATATGGTATTCTTCTTTGTTTCTCAGGGCCAGTGTCTCACTTCATATATCAAGATCAAGATTGTACCAGTATCTCATTATCTGCTCCAGTTTCCTTAGGTTCAATTTGTAGCAGAAGTAAATCGCCACTACCACTTAGAGAAGTCAATGGAGAGACTAAAAAACTTGATCATGGATAAGGCACCAAATCACCTCATCTCTTCCTATCTCCTCGACGCTCACCTCGTCTTTTGGTAGTACTTGAGAATACCTTTTATTTTAATATTTTTTCTGTCGTTTTGCTGTTCCTTTCTTTTCCAATGAGGTTTGTGTGTGGCAGTGTGCTGGCACAATGAAGTGCATACATAAACAATCACAACTAATTATAATTGCCTCTTAGACAAACAAAATAGGTTCTCATTGATTGTTTATGATGTTTTGGCTAGGAAAAGAGAATTGGTATAATGATGAACTCATCTTCATTCTCAGGCAATGAACTCGTAGGTGACTTGAAGAAACCTAACCTTTGCCTGTGTATTTATTGAAAAACATTAGAATAACCCAACAAAATATTATAGATCCTACTATATATATGACTTTTCTTACACAATATTTGTCCAAGTTTTTTTCTTTACTATGCATTGTTAGAGTCTGTAACAAGTGTTGTTTAATAAAATACATATTTAAAGGTAAACCTTGTAATTTTCAAAATTAAAAAAAATAAGGTCCTAGAATATGTTTTCTAGGAGCTTATTTTTAAATGTATTGGATGATTCTAGGTTATAATGTTATCTTAAAACAATAACCTAGTAATTTAAAATAACATATTCTTTATTGTTTTGAATATGTGTTTTTAAAAAGCTAAGACCTCATGGTTTATTTGTTTATGATGCTTTGGCAAGGACCAATTGATTGTGCCTATATAGGCTATATTACACTGTTGGTGGCTGTTTTTGGATAGCTGTTTGGCTGAAGAAATTTGGGTTTTAATTGGAAATAGGTTTGGTGGTGGTGAATTGTGAGTGATTGTCCAAATTTCAGATTATTAGCTGGAATCTGGAAATAGAATATGAATGTTTCAGGAATTTGGAACTTTTCTCAATTTAAATTCGGATCAATTCAGGATCAAATTATGATAGCAGAACTAAATCAACTTTTTTTTTTTGGTTGGAAAGGTAACACTGATATTCCTTAAATATTATGAAGATTTTAGATCTCCTTCCCCCCACCCCCCCCCCCTATCTGCATTATCACTCTGATAATCTCCCCGTTTTCTGGTAGTATGTTAGTTTTCGGAAACACCACATATGCCTTGTGTTGCTTGGCTTCATTCTTGACTAATTCAGCGAACAACAATTCTATTTTTACCTCATTTGATGTTCTTCTGTGAGTTCATCTGAATGTATATTAAATATGTTTATCAATAAGTATTGGGACTGTTTGATTGTTTCAAAGTGTATTCTGAAGGCATTTAGGAGGGTGTGAGTTGGTTATACTTTCCGGTCTCTGTTTGAAATTGTGATAATAGAATGCTATGGACTATGATGTGGATTATTAATTCATTGTTGCACTTGCACATTGCAGGGTTAAAAACCTAGAGAAGGATGAACACACATATGCTGTCCCCAGAAACTGGGGAAAACGTAATTTATGGGAAGGAATATTAACTGCTATGTTACGTGGTAACATTGGGCAGATTTGCTTGACAGGTTGTGTGAAGCTTAGTCTAGTTGTATTTACTATTTAGTATAGCTAATTGTATTTACGTGGTAATCCTTTTTGCAAATTTTCTTCTGAAGAGTGGAGACCGCAGCTGCTGCCAAGATGTTTTTAAGTCCTTCAACTCCTTTTGTGCTGAGGGTTGTAAGTTGAGTTCCATTTTGTGTAAATATTTTGTCATATGATGTGCCTTCTGTTTCTTCTACTTTCCTGCAGTCCTGCCCTTAGTTTTGAGCACTAGGATTCTTACACTCGATGGACATAGCGACATAAGTTAAGACATACTGTAATATTCTTTAGATTTGGAGTTTATTACGGTAATATTTATTGTGTTAGGAGTTATTAATTGTTGACGGTAATAATACAAGTAGTCTTTTTCAAGCCGAACATGGTGAATAATTGATTGCGATGAACAAAATATAGCATGAGTTGCTCTACAAAAAGGTTAAAAAACTTTCAAGTAGAAGTAGTAAAAGAAAGTACTCCGTAAATAAATAAAAAAATTAAAAAACAAACTGCTAGTACCACGTCTTACCTTCTCGATCTTTCCTTTTTTCACTTAAGATTATTTTTTTTACTGTAGGATGTAAGTTTATCTAACCTTTAATGTACATGTCCTAATGTTTCTTCATAATTTACTAGAACCGTTCTTAACCTTGTTATAGGTCAGTAGCATGTGATCTCATGATCTCATAAAATATGTAATCATGTAGCACACTATGTCTTTAATCATCTATATTTAACTTGAATTTACATTTTTTTAGTTACTTTTGTTTGATACATTAATAATACTAATATAGAACGCGAGATAATATGAAATTACAGAATACTTTCCGTTGTCGAATAGAAAGAAAAAAGGGAGTTTAAACAAACCCCATTAACGCATGTCGAAACGAGTCCCTTGCTGCATTATCATGCCACAATAACATGTTTCTTCATATTTTACTAGAACCGTTCTTAACCTTCTCATAGGCTTAATAGAGCAGTATATGCTACTTCCTCCATTTTATAATGTTAGTTTCATATATTATTTTAGGCATTTTAAAAAGATCTAGTCATATTAAATATGTTCCATTTTTAAATTAATTTTTTTGGAATTAATTGGTTGTGGATTAATGACATGGCTCTAAGTAAGGAAATCTCTACCTTGAATTATGCTGACTTATGCTTTCCCAAACACAAATCAAAAAACTTAAATAAGATAAACTAATTATGAATTATTTTGTACTTTAATGTTAGATTCTAAATATTCTTCTAAGTTTTGGAAGTATCGAAGAGGCCAATAGAAATTACCCTGGCCTACTTTTTACTTTTTTTTTCGTATTTCTATTTATCGTAGTGAAGTTGGCGCATCAAAAAAAAGGTAAACTATTATATGTGATTGATTCCAAATGGGACTAACATTATGAAACATGGGGAGTATATGGTTTTGTGATGGCACTATATACTTTAACTTAGGCAATTAATATGCAATGTTGTAATATAATGCTTTTCCCCTAGGGTTTGTGGAGAAGATGTAAACCAAAGTTACAACTATAAACAAAAGTTTAAACCTTGTGCATATATGTTGAAAGTACTCAACAAAATAATATCATTATTCGTATCAATAATATTTTTATTGATCTATTTGGTATCGTAATATAGAACTCTGTATATATACATGAAATATTTTCAAACTAACTACGAACCAACTAGTGGTACGGTGTACAGACTAATAGACTAATTCTTTTTTATGATTTTACTTTAAGATAAACCAATAAACCAAAGAAAAAAAAAAAAACAAAACAAGATTTACATCTATAATTTTTCTGCTAATTAATGTAATTAAAAAAAATAGTAATAGTAATTAAGAGAGTGAAGGATGTTGTAATCTCCTGCAGATGAGAGAACGTGTATGCTTCCAAAGTCTCAAAGCTTGAGAATGATCAGCAGCTAAAGCTGAACAAGAAGTTTGATTACAATCTGCAAAGTACTTTCCACTTACACCTTCTGTTTCTGGGCTTAGTGCTACATAACATGTTGTTGCTGCACCCTACAAAAAAATTTATACATTCACACATTTTATTAAAAGAATCAAATTTTTGTGGCATGTCTGATTTTTTATTTTTACAGTAATTATTGATATTGTAGATAAAGTATAAAGTCATATCATAACTCTTATTTCTAAGGTGATTTTGTTTTTACCATGCAATATATGTCAGTACGTGTGCAAGTGAAAGTAAGCATCTTTGATGAGACTTTGCAGTGCATGAGGAATGAACGAAAGATGTGAATACTAGATTTTAATGGATATGGGAATGATTTTTTGTTTTAGTGTCGAAAAGAGGTTTAGTTGAAAGGTCGCTCGATTTCTCTAATTAAAACATGATATTGGAAGATGATGGGTTTTATTTTTAGTGAAATTAAAACGCTTCATTGATAGAGAATATATGCAGAATATTCTTATATTAGATTTAGGATATTGATCAATGAAAGTCACTTCAATTGAGGAATATTCACATCCTTAAACCCAATATGCTCTTAAGATGAAAACGATCAATGAATTTTTACATCCTTAAACCCAATAAACTCATAAGATGAAAACTATCAATTAATGTATAGACGGATTTTTAAATAATACTTTCATATATGTCAATTTGTCATATGATAACACGTGTATCAACACTTACTTTCGCGTTAGTACGGAGTAATACATACATTTATTTTTAACGATAATGTTGATTTTGTCGAAAATGCACTAAATATATGAAATTGACTTTTAATAAGCAAAAATTTAAGGTAAATGAGACAAACCTGTGACGTGGTCTTGAGCAACTTGGCTGCTAGGAAATACAAAGAATCTGCAACAAAGCAATATAATCCATGATGATTAACATTTTGCGGTTGTGAAGGTTTCCCATTTATCTAAATACAATTAAATATAATTAGAAGGATAATGAAAGTGATTAATAATTTAATCATGTATTATACATTAGTACATTATAAACTATATGAATATTTTTGGACGGATAATGGGAATATAAATGTGATTAATAATAATTAATCACATATTATATGATAATGTAGTATATAAATTAAAAGGGGTGACAAAGCATGCCTGTAATAAAGCCTTTATGAGCCCTTATAATTCCTGTCTTCACTATTCCTGGGTGTACTGCGTTGATTGTTACTCTTGTATTTCTTTCCTGCATTTTTAAAGACAAAAGGATAAAATTTTATTAGAAAAATAGTCAATTTTTAGAACACCAGTGCTCTTATAATCATAGCTTCTCTTTTGTTTTTTTATGGCACCTTTTCTTATCTTTTTGACTTTTCTTTTTGTTCTTTTCTTAGTTTTATTAATTTAATTTTATCAAATATTATGGATATTAATTAGATCATTAGCTAGGCTAATCTAATGTCATGTCTTAGCTAATAATCTAGTGATTAATTATTCGTACATCATTATGAGCTAATCTAATTTCAGAAAGTTCACTAATTTTTATCTAAATTAATTATTACGGAGTACTATCTCCACATTTGGATTATAAATGTTGATAGTATAGGGATTAGCGATAAAATTTAATAGTATTAACTCGATCTGTTTGTTTAATCATAAGTGATAAATTGTTATGAGAAAAACCTATCTTGATGATAATTAGGGTAAAGACCTGTCTTAATTGCTCTACATATCTAGGACGGAATTGGGGCCTTATGCAATGTTCAAGTACTAAAAAATTGGAAATTAGTTAACATTCTACTCTTACTTCCTAATTCCTCGAAAAAAAAATTATACATATAATATAGTATAGATATATTTAATTTTTTTTTTTTTTTTTGAAACCTTATAGATATATTTATATAAAATCATGTAAAATACTCTATTTATGAAACAGAAAAGAGTATGAAGTGCTACCTTTAATTGCCTTGCCATTTCTCTGGCATGCATAATGTTAGCCAGTTTTGATTGCGCGTATGCACGTGTACCATTATAACTACAATGTTGAACCAAAAGCATAAAGTTCAGAAAAACATAAAAGAAAAAAGAACTGGATAGTATACATACAAATACTACTTTTATAAATTTTCTTATTGAAAATCACCCAATAATTAATCAATATATTAAAAGGGAGATAGTAATACTTATTCTGTTTCATAAATATTGTCACATATAAACTTATACAAATTGTAATTAACCCAAAACTTTAATCATTTACATCCTTAATTATATATAAGTAAATATTATAAAATGTTTTAATTTTAATATATAGAGTACGTATAATATATACAGACGAATCTAATAAGATTTCAAATGAACAAGTTTTTCCATGTAAATCATGATAGAAGGTTATTAAAGGAAAGTAATTAATTGAATACTCGTAGTAAAAGAGTCCAAATGTTATAATATTTGTTAAACAGAGCAAGTAGATGGAATAAAACTCTAAAAAAAATATTGATAAACAAAAAAATGAGTGGGAATATTTACTTCTTAGGATTCAGCATTTTAGAAAGAGAGAAGTGATCATTCTTCACCCAACTGTGAGTTAAAGAGGAAACATTTATTATTCTTCCTGGAATCCCTGATTGTGATGCTGTCTCCACCATCTTTTCTAACAGTAATTCTGTTAGTAAAAAATGCCCTGCCAACAAAACAAGGTGGAGGTAAATTTTCCATCACTACTCTCCTACACTATTATGCCTAATTCGGTTATTTAAAAAAAAAAAAAACGGAGATAATTAAACTATTTCTTCCTGGCTTGGATTATTCATTAATACGGAGAATGATATAATGACAGGCATTAAACATCAATAATCAAGTTTGACGAAAAGTTTGACCGTAAAAGCTAAACATGATCACTTTGATTTATAGACAAAGAAATAAACTCATTGATACTCCATAATAATTTAAATTAATGCCGTCGTGGGTTTTGCTCCTTCATCCAAAAGGGTAATTATATGTTTTGACATGAAAATCACTTGCGTCTCTTCAAAGTTATCTAATGAAATTGGAATAAATTGTAGTAAAATTTTAGTTGTTAAGCTTTTGCTGGTAGAATAGTAACTTGCATAAGACTAGCTAAAACAATAATGTGCGTCGTTGGTAGATGTCAACTAGTTAAATTAATTCCTTTTTCAAATATAGCATCTAAGATTTGGCCTTTTTGTTCAAACTCATTTACGTTGCTATCTTCTAGTTGTTTCTAAATCCAGAAAATATTCCAGTATCACACTAAAACATCCAAAAATAAAACTTTAATTGGTATTCCAATGAAATATGCCTGTTCAACTTAAATATTTAGTGATTTTAATGTGAGTTTATAAGAATTGATAAATTTGGGCAATTTACTCCAAAGAAATGAGCAATTTTACCATGGAAAAAAAAAAGGTTGGTAGGTTTTCATAGGGAGGGAAATGCATGGGGACACCACCTTAGCTTTATAATCAAAATAGATCACAAAAGATTTTATTTATCAATAAAAGTGGAACAAAAATCTTACCTAAATAATTTGTTGCCATTGTAAGCTCAATCTTGTCTTCAGAAAATTCCAGCTTTTGAGAAAATACTCCAGCATTGTTTCTGCATATATGAAATTCTAACACTTTAAAACTTCGCAAATTTTTTTATCTACTAAGTACATTAATAATTACGAAACCTATGAAATCCAAACTTTAAAAAACAGAGAGAGTATGACTGTACGTCGTGTATGATATGAATATATACGTACTCTATATAAAATCATGTTATACAACACTTACATAAGAATATTGAGAGGTAAATCAAGAGACAAGAATTCCGAACAAAATCTGCTAACAGAAGCCATGGAACTAAGATCAATCTCCAAAATTATAATTTGAGCGTGAGGTGCTTCTTTTAAGATTGCCTCCTTAACTTCAGCTCCTTTGCTCAAATTTCTTGCTGCAATTACAATCCTTACTCCTTTCTTTGCTAGAACTCTTGCTGTTTCTGCCCCAATACCCGACGTCGCGCCTAATTAATTCAAAATTAATTTCAATCAGCACCATTTTAATAATAATGCTAATCCAAACATGATTAAATTATTTGCATGGAATTGACTAATTTTTTATAACGTCAATGACTGAAAAATGATCAAAATATATAAAATACTCACGCATGGGAAAAGCTGTGATTTATTTGATTAATTAAATTTGCTAAAAGTGGATATGAGTTTTAAATACTAGTCAGAAGTTTCCATAAAAGCTGTGATGTGCTCTGATCCAATAAAAGATTTCAATTCCATATAAACACAAAAAACTAATCCTCCTACTACAACCTTTGGATCAAACAAGCAATATTTAATACTAAATTATTAGATTATTATAAAAAAAAAAAAATGACATATAAATATGCATGTGTATATGTTACACGAACTATACGTAGTATATGTTACACTAGCTAACTAGCTAGCCTCATTCATGCCATGTATCTATTAGAAACGATGATATTAGCAACATAGTTATTCCTCGATCGATCAGATAAGATACAAATGAAAAATTACATGAAATCGTTTACGAAAGATATAAGATATGGATCGAATTACCGGTGATGATAGCCGTGAGAAGATGAGGTGGACAAAAGCAATGTTCGGTAACTTGATCAGCAGTAGAATTAGAGCCATAACCACTAGGACCAGCAATTCCGGCCAAGTATTTCAGTGCTGCCTTCATGATATTAGTGTTGTGAAATAGCCTATTATATGTGCTTACTAAATTTGTGTATGAAGTTTCAAGTTATTGTGAGATATATTTATATATAAAGCAATATATATAGTAGTATACGTTATAATAATATTTTGTAAATTAATTAATTTTGTTGGTGGTCCAAAGGAGCAAACATTATTTTATGCTGCCTCATAGACCATAAGATACCAAGGTGGTCCATCCCCAATGATATTGGCCCTCATATGTCTGTAACTAGTATGTATTATAGTACATTAGGGAATCTACATAAACGTCACACAGTGGCCAATCTGCGCTACATTTTGGTTCAATAGGGCGTTTTATCTTATCATATTTTCTTAAAATGAATTATTCGTAAGAAAAATAATGGATGGATTGTTTATATTATTAGTTCGATGTATTCTGAAACACCTAATTTTATTGGTCTGTGTAAGATACACGTAATATGTGCGATTTTCATAAGAATTTATAGTAAAAAAATAAATTGGAATTTTGAAAGGAAGCTAATAAGAGTGATGGAGGTGCAATTGGCAATCTCCACAATAAGTTGTCAATCGATCTCCTTTAATTTTTATATTTTTTCTTTTGTGGTTAAACTGTTCATACTTATTGGTTTTCATTTGTTTTCCTCTCTTTTTTTCTTTGTGGCAATTGAGATTACTTGTTACTTTCCAGGCTTTCTTTTGGGAGTATTGATTATTTGCTATTGGAGTTTAATGAGATTAAAGAGAGAAAAAATATGACATGACATAAAGATGTTTTTACTTAGAGTGGTAAAATAAAGTGTACATTTCCAAATTAAAATATTTTATGACAATTCTATGCCTGCGGAAAATCTTATGGAAGACTTCTAGAACAGATTATTATTTACATTTACTTTGTCTAAAAGCTATTCTAGACATAAGTGAGGGTGAAGTTACAAGTGTTTAAGGAGTACTTATACTTTGTGATTAATCTCTCATCATGAATAATGTTTATGCTTCTACAATCTCCAATTGTGAATCAAAGTAATTACAACGTATTTTTCATGGTCGGTATAGTAAGGTAAATCAACAGTAACCGACCTTATTTAACAAATTAACAAGGACGGACATATTTTATATATACTTGGTCAGATCGATGAATAAATAATATGAATGACTCATTTATTTCCTTATATGTGAAGCTAGTATCGTATTAGATAGTTTGTTGTATACTTGTATGTACTTGAGTGTGGATAGATATGTGACGTCCTGAGCTCCTAATATTGGATGGATAATTTTCGGAGGATTTTTCATGTTAAGCTAGTCAATTAATTAATAAATTAACTCTACTCATGAATAATGCTATAACCAAAAAAAAATGTGAAATGGAAAAGTTGAAGAATAAGACATGGTAGAGGGTGACTTGGCTAGCAATCGTTAAAGTTGTCACCATCAAATTTCAATTTCCCTTAACCATCTAACGACACGCTGAAAACCAAATGCTAATGCTGTCTTAAGGGAAGCTTCATCTTTAATTTGTTTACCTAATTAATTAATCCACAAGACAAGCTTAATAACCTAAAGAGTCTTTAATTTACACTAATGCTAAAGGTATTATTGCTGTCACGTTTAGAGACCGAGTTTTGCTTAGGGTTTTTCTTTGTCAAAAAGGTAGTTGAAATTAATGGCTAATAATTCTAAACACCTTTATTTAAGGGGTCTCTAATCAACGAATTGCATTTAATTAAACTAGATGACTTCAGGGCTTCACCCTAATTTACCTCGCTCTCTCAGTCAATTAAAAATTTTCTTCAATATCTCCAATCACATTTACTTTTCTATTAAAATACTATCTGTAATAGACTAGTCAACAAGTCAAGCTAATGGTTGAAGCCCAAGAATATGTTTGGATGCAGCATAGGTCCTCCACATACCCTACGCGTAATATCCCCACTTGAAATTAAAGTGGGGGGTGAATGAGATTTGAACCCGTAACCTTTGTGTCACTGCTCGTTGGTTCCGATATCATGTTAGAGGATCATCTCAATCAAAAGATTAAGCTGATGGTTGAAATCCAGGAATATGTTTTATACTCTGTCAAAATAGAAGTCATTGCCCAAATATCTAACCAATTAAATTAATTGTCTTAAGAAAGAGATCATTAACCTTACTTCATATAATAAGTAGGTGCAAGTTAATATAATCGAATAATCATTTCTTTTGCTAATTAATTTAATTAATTGGTGAATGTCCGTACCCTTTTTATTGTTTTCCTTTTTCCTACACTAGTAGGAAAACTCTACAAAATGACAGTAGTCTACATATATAGTACTCCAATCAGTTAGATGTAGATTGATCATCACAAAGTGAACAACATAATTTAGCATTGTAGATTTTTGTTTCCCTAACCTATAGTAATCTAGCTAGGTTGCGACAAAAAGATTAGGCCTAACAAGAATTTATAGAACCTGTTTCAAACAAACCAAACCAAACCAAGCACAATTTCTTTAATTTGCCTATAACTATAATACTGCCTTTCTCCAGCTTAATCATTGAATTTTTATCCTATAAGTTTGATTTGGTTACATAAATGTACGTCTACTAGTCACGAGCTCATGGCATATAATAATATCGATGAGGTTTTCGCTAAAAAATAATAATTATCATTCAATATTTAACTTTATGTATTTCGATTGTATGTTCACACCATGATGAGTTAATTAATACAAGTATTTATTTAAATAATTCATAGTCAATAATTGTGTATTATCGTGAAGGTTATTAATATGAGATCTTCAAAGTTTAACCTAAAAATCAATAGGGATATGTTATTTTAATTAGGATGACTCTATATAATATTGTGTCCCATTGATTAGGAACAAATGCAGTACAACATTTTTTGTTAAAATGATTCTCTTACATGGTGTCGAAGTTATAATGATTATTTTAAATTTTGGATTTGAATCTTAAAAGCAAATGCATTAGTAAAATATATGAGAATTGTAGGTAAGAAATACATCACATTGGAGATAAATCATAAGCTAAACTAAGTCATTGATTGTATTAATATAAGATGGCCTGGATTTCTCATGCAAGATATATATGAAGATAGTAATAACAAGTAGACATACATATGAACTTGCATTTATAGTACCATTTCATGTCCATCTATGCTAACCAATCGTTCCGATCCACATTGAACACTTTGCGATTTATTCATTACTTATGTGTCTATGTATATTGCCGAATTATGTTCTAATAAGAGGTTAATTAATATTACCACAATTTACTGTCAAAACATGTACTTGAAAAAGTGACAAAATAAAATGTACTGGTTATATTGATAGATTTCAACTACATTACTAACAATATTGCGGAATTATGTTCTAATAAGAGGTTAATTAATATTACCACAATTTACATCAAAACATGGACTCGAAAATGTGACAAAATAAAATTTTCTGGTTTTATTAATAAATTTTAACTACATTACTAATAAATCAACACGAGGGAGGATTACTACTTATACAACCAAACTAATTAGAATCAATCTTAAACTTCCTTGAATTATTGCTTAATAATCATAATTATACAAACACACATCAAATTACTACAAGCTGAGGATGTTGATAAGACATGCAACACGGTTTCATTTTCATACATTATAAAAGCAAGTCGTAAAAGGAGACATGCTTGGTTCCTACTTATAATGACCAACGCAATAACTACATATTGCCTTCATCAAACACACCCCATTTTTAAGACTTTCAAGTATTTTTCATCGCACGTGTACATATTTATAAATAGCTGTAAAATTTAAAAAGATGAGTAAATAAAGTGTAACAATATAATTCTTATATATACTACAAACATAACATGCATGAATGCAATTTTTATCATATGATTCAAAATTATGAAAAAAAGGTGGTGAATTTTTATTTGTGGGGGACAAGTAGGGTTATTTTTTCTACTTGCAACCGTGTCACTCACGTCTAATTTGTCCTTATATTTTTGGGCCAATATATACCCATTTATTTATTATTTATTTATTTATTTTTATGTGATTTTCTAAGCTTTGACAAATAACGAGTGTTGTTAGGCATTGTGAGAGAGATATATTGAAGTTGACTCATCAATAAAAATGGAGCTTAGTGTGTTAAGGTGTAAAAATTAATGTGGGACCTACCTATAGAAATGGAGGGATCCTATTGGTCCCCTAACTTTAATACAACTTTCATAAGCATGCTTCTAATTTTTGAGGCACTTTTACTTGTAGTTTCACATGTGATGATCCCTTTTCTTAGATTCAATTTAGGTATTCATTGATTGTTATATATGCCTACAAGAATATAAAGTGGAAGGAATAAAAACAAGCTTGGATTTGATTGGGAAAAAGCCCATTTTCTTGCAATGAATTTGAATTTTGGTATGAGATTAGTGAGATTTATTGTAACCAAATGAAATGAAACATAAATTTATTCATAAAAATCTATCTATATATCCTTAGCTTATTATTTCTAGTAATTTTAATGAGATAAAAATGATTTTGTAAGAATATATCAATTCATAAAAACAATATTACTTTTCAATAAAACTTATCAATATGAATTTCAAAGAACAAATATAACAATATTTAAGAAAAAAAATTAAATAAGGTGAAAAGAAAGTATATTAACCTATATTCTATATCTTGCTACCTTGTTTTAATGATTACTCATAATATTATCGTAAATAATAATAAATTCTTGGTCACAAAATTTTAGACCACACCAAATAATTTTCTTGCTAATTTTGTAAATCTCGTTCCAAAATTATACCATTAATATCAATAATTACGTACTAATAGAACCATGTATATGAAAAAGTTAATAGAGCAATAGTACATTCAATTCTTTGCCAGATCACTCAATTCCAAAACTTGTGGTGCTTTAAACCTTTTATTATTCTGGATTTTCCAAACTATTTCTCATACATCAGCTTACATTCAAAGCAATATTTCCCGTGTGGAACTTTTATGCTGCATTGAGCATGTATAATGGTTTAAATGTCTCATTATTCTTCACAAAATGTCAAAATATATTACATGCATTATGAAACAATTAATAA